GACACGGGGCCTGTAAGCCCTTGTTTCTAGGCTTTTAGGCTGAGACTGCGGGACAGGCCCTGCAGGCCCGTGTGGCTGCGCAGTATGCCACACCCCCCCCTCCTTGAAAGACCGAGCCTACCTGCGAGGGCGAAGCTGTCTGTCTGAGGGAGGGACCACAGTCCGGGTGGGAGGGGCAGGTCGTGAAGTCCCCTGAGCTAACCTTTGTCGCTCGTAGTGAGCGTAGATCAGCGGTGCGGATGCTTTCAAATCTGTTCCTGAAATCCACCGAGTGTCGTTGGGATCGCATGCTTTGAATGCAACTTTGTACTGTCGAGGCTTGCTGCCGTACTTGCGATCCGTGATGACGCGGTCAACCTCTTGATGACCATCCATAGATGGAGGATCCTGCGATCTTCGGCCCGGGAAGTCGTCGCTCTTGGCTGGTGTATATGTTTGAGGCTTCGAGGCGTGAAAGACTGGATGGACCGTCAGATGGGGGGGAATGTTGATCACAAATGACGGGCCATCTGGCTCATCGCCCGCGGCTGATCTTACGGGCCATGGTCCAAACCACTTGGGAAGCAGTTTGCGTGAAACATCCTGTTCGAGTGCAAACTCTTCCGCGGAGACCCACACCAGATCACCGGCGCGGATGGGACATGGCACGCGATGCCTGTTGGCTTGCTGATGCATGCGGACTTGAGTCTTTTGCATGTTCGCGCGGGCTTGAGCCATCAATTCCCTGTACTTCCGAACGGAAGCAGGGGAGCAAGAAGCGTCTATGGCGGCTGTTCGTGGGAGGAGAAGATCAGCGAAGATACGGCCTTTCTGGCCACCGTGGTGCAACTCGAATGGAGTTACGCTGATCGCCGGATGCAACGAAGTGTTGTAGGCGAACTCGATGTCGGGGAGGCGGTCAACCCAATCCTTCTGATCCGGACGGATGAGCGTACGAAGCATCATTTGAGCGGTTTGCTGTGCCCGCTCCGTTTGCCCGTCCGTTTGCGGATGCCGAGTCGAACTTGGTTTCATCTTTGTGCCGGATTCCTGCATGAGAGAAGTCCAAAATGCCGACATGAAGCGAGTGTCGCGGTCGCTGACGATGTCGTCCGGCACGCCATGGCTGCAAATCCAGCTGGTTTGTAGGAGGCGCGCCAGCTCGGGAGCCGTGGAGTAGTACTTGCAAGGAAGAAAACGCACGTACTTACTCAATCGGTCCACAACCGTGAGGATGCCGTCGTGCCCGAGCCAGTCACGGGGAAACGGACCGGTGACGTCCATGGCAATGGAGAGGCCGGGTTCCTGTGGGATAGGCATCGGGCGCAACTCGCCGTAGGGATTGCTGCGTCGGCAAACTTTGCAAGAGTCGCAGTACCGAGTGACATCGGTAATGAGGTCAGGCCATCGGAATCGTTGCCGAAGTTGTGCAATAGTGCGATTGACTCCAAAATGGCCGGCGAGTCGCGAGTCATGGTACTCACCGAGAAGGCGAGTCCGAAGACGACGGTCGCGTGGGACACACAATAAGTCCTTGCCTCTCGAGTGAAGGAGCAAGTACCCGTCGACGATGCGATAGTGGCTGGCCGGCGGGTGATCCGAGGATAGTTGCGCATACAACGTGGCGAAATCCGGATCCGACTCATAGCCCCGGATGAAGTGTTGCTGGAGTTCCTCGTCAAATGCGAAGGCATGGTGTGTCATAGCTTAAAGATCGGGTCTTCGCGAGAGTGCATCTGCTGCACGATTGGAGAGGCCGGGGCGATGTTTCGGTGTGAAGTCAAATTGGTCGATGAAGTACATCCATCGTCCGATCGTGCTGCTCACCTTATCATGCATCTTGTAGTAGGTCAATGGGTTGTTGTCCGTGACCCATGTGAACCTTCGACGCCCAAGGAGGAAGTGCCGCCATCGCTTGAGAGCCATCACAAACGCGAGCAACTCCTTCTTCCTTGCATCATCAAGTGAATTGATGGGAGGCACTTTGTGGCTGAAATACTCCACAGGGTGCCAGTCGTCGCCGTCGTGTTGTTCCAAGACTGCCCCAATGCCATAGCCGGAAACGTCGGTTGTCACTCTCGTTGGCAGGGTGGGGTCGTAGGTGCTAAGGACGGGTGCCATGAGCATGGCCGTCTTGAGTGCTTGGAATGACCGGCGTGCATCGTCATCGAATATGAATGGCACCTTTGGCGATCGTAATCTCGTCATAGGTGCGACACTCCTTGAGTACCCGGTGATGAAGCGTTGATAGTAGCCCGCCAACCCCATGAATGAACGAACGTCCATGGTGTTGGTGGGCTCGGGCCATACGCGGATGGCCTCGATCTTGTCCGCAAGCGGACGGATGCCTTGCAGCGTCACATAATGTCCCAAGTACTCCAGCTTTTGCCGCGCGAATTCACATTTGTCGAGGTTGGCTTTGTACTTGGCTTGTCCTAGCCGCTCCAAAACGGTGCGCAGGTGCTCCACATGCTCGTCCAAACTCCGGCTGTACACCAAGATGTCGTCGAGGTAGATGAGTACGAATCTATCCAACATGTGTTGGAACTCCGTTGTCATAGCCGCTTGGAATGTGGTCGGGGCATTCGTAAGGCCAAAAGGCATAACCAGCCATTCGAAATGCCCATATCGCGTCTTAAACACGGTCTTGTAGCGGTCCTCCTGTCGGATCTCGAGTTGGTGATATTTCGATTTGAGGTCAAGCTTGGAGAAGAACTTGGCGCCGCCCAGTCGTTCGAGGAGGTCGTCGATGCGTGGAAGAGGGTCAGCGTTCTTGACGGTTTGCACGTTGAGCTTGCGATAATCGATGCACAACCGCAGTTCCCTGTTCTTCTTCCGGGCGAAGAGAACGGGAGCACCGTATGGCGAAGAGCTAGGCCGAATCCAGCCTTTCTCGAGAAGATCGCCGAAGTGTGCCCGTAGCACACTTAACTCTTCCTCGCTCATGCGGTAGATGCAACCACGCGGAGGTACGGCCCCGTCCTCGAGGATGATCTCGTGGCGGATGGGCCGATCCGGTACTACTCCGTGCGGTGTTTCGAACACGTCGCCGTAGGCATCGAGAAGCTCGGTGATGCGTGGGTCCGGTGGTGAGTCCGTCGATGGAATGTCTTGGGGCGGGAGGGCGTGGAGAAAACACACCCCCATCTCCTCGATGTCATCCCGGATGATGGAAGCTCGAATGCTTGCGGCGGACACCACGTCGCAGCTGATCGAAGGGTGAGGATGAGGCACCGTGCATGGGACTAGTACTCCGTTCCGATCACGAACGTGAACGGTGCGGCGGTAAAAGTTCACCGGGTGATCCTCGCTTCGCAACCATAACATGCCCAAGATCATGTCGAACTTAGTGTCCAAAATGTAGAAGGACACGGCCTCGCTTGCACGCGAGGCAAAGTACACGGGGACGACATCAATGCACCGGTCGATTGACTTGTGCGTGTGACTGTCGGCCAACGTGACTTGCGTGGGCTGCGACTTCGTCCGAACGCGTGGCCCAAGGCCAGCGCGTACCATAAAGTATTGGCTCATGTAGTTGCGAGTAGCTCCGCAATCGATCAAAGCGCTGCAGGTCGCCTCTCCGATCTGAATGCGTATGTACAACAATGCTGCGTTGATGTCGTCGTACCATTGTGTCTTGAACTCGCGGTCGATCTTCGCAATGTAGGCGTGAAGGTCGACAACTTCTACTCCAGTGTCCATCAACGGAGTTGGTACTGCAGTGTGCAAGTAATCCCGCAATTGTGCCATAAGCACGTTGCAATGCGGTTTCGACAATCGATCGGACGGGGGAAGCCTTAGGGGCATCCATTGGAAGTCCGCAAACGTCAACGGGTCGACCTCTTCAAGTCTTGACCATGTCGTCGAATCCCCAGTGATAGATGACGACGAAGTTGCCGAATCGGTTCCGATGGTAGTGAAACCGTGCATGCGGTGGATTGTTGCACGTGGAGTGGTTGGTCCAATGGTGGGACCAAGTGGACAGCATAATCCTCGTAAGTAAACCGAGGACTTGCGACATTCGCATCCTCCCCAGATGTGTAGGAGGCCGCTAGCAAGGCGGCCGAATCTGGCGGAGTGAGAGGTGGAGTCGCCTCACCTCCCGCGCAACTCAGTTTCCCGAGTTGATTCGAGGCCGAACATCCTCCTTGCCTTGATCCGGGCATTGGGAGGTCTTGTGCTTGGTGCTGTTGCACCAATAGCAGCAGCCATAACGACCGTTGTCGTGCCCCCACTGTTTCCAGGGTCTGGCTCGATGTCCCTCCCCGGGCTGAGTACAGTGGGTTGGTGGACTGGCAGGCTGTCACGCAGGATTTTGGAAAGTTTTAGGAAAATTAGAAGTGAATTCACAAGCAGCCTTTGTCACACAGTCGAGTAGTCAGGGTTATCCCTCTTGCCAGCGGCGACACGGCTTAGAGTGAGGCGTTCGGTTTTATCGCCTGCACCTGACCCCATATAAAGGTTAGACTCAAGGTCATCGGAGTCCCTATTATCCAGGAGTCCTTCAAGTAGCCTTGAGTGTAACCTGTTATGATAAGGAGTGATAAATAACTTGTTACCTCATGCATAAACATTCCATGCATCATAAATCAAATGACACAGAGAGGACGAAAAGACCAGAAACCAGACTCTGCAAGAGCATGACCAGAGACACGAGACTGAAGAGTATTACACAGAAAATGCAGGAAGCAGCCATAGGAGGGGCTGCAGTCACTGATAAAACATAATAATGTCATAATACATCTCAGTGACTAAAAGATACGAGCCTCAATCAATAACGACAAGAGGTACCCCCTCGTGAGTGGGCTCGACTGTCTGGGACTCCGTATCTGGTACACGCTGGTCCTCCTCATCATTGAGAACCTGAGTGGCCATCAACTCTGGGACCACATAGCTGATGTCAAAAGATGCTGCAAGATCGATCTTGATGATATATGCCATACATCCCGCCATTTCCTCATCCGCGACACTCCGGAGGTACAGCTCCTCGGCGAGGGAAATGTTGTCGATGGCACCGATCAAGATCTCAATCCGTCCCTTGCCGTAGATGTAATCATAAGAAACCTCCAGAAAACGGTCTCCATAGAGTGACTTCCGAAAAGCCTGTATGACGAAGTCTGCTCCCACCAAATGACTACAGCCATCCCCAAGATATGAGACTGGTCCCTCCCCCCTTGAAGGGCCGGCTACCTCCTCTGACATGGGTCCTCCTTACATGTAATGCCTGAATCAATCACCCTCAAGCAGGTATCGTGCCAAGAGGTAAGCAACCCGTCGTAGGTCTTTCTTTCGCCTGTGTCTCACTCCGGTGACCAATGTCATAAGCTGCCCTGGGTCTGCTCCAACTCAAGCGTACTCAATCCCTGCGGGTATCCCAGTCAAAATAGTCCCCCAAATCAACATCACTAACGCAGCAAGGCTCTTGGTCAGACTCGTCTTCTAACCTCTGTAAGTAGGTGGTGATAGGTATCCCGGATCTGGCCACCTCGCTCATAATCCTTCTGTCCTGACGCCTCTTTTCCTTGCTGCCACCTCTGCTTAGTGGTTTTGGATTACAACCATCAAAGTCAAAGAGAGCACCACCTGGTGCAAAGGGGACATGGGGAAACACCACATGTAACCAGTGCTCCCCCCAGTAACTCTCCCTGCGGAAGATATAATCAGCAATCCGGCCATAGGTGGCTCCCTTTATTCCCTGCCCAGCATCTCTCACGTGATAAGTGATCACCAATGTGTATCTCGATGTGGGAGACTCATTGGCCCGAATGACGAAGCTCTGATGTCCAATGTGTCGATAGCAGAACTTCTCAACCAGCTTACCCCATGTAGGGGTTGTCTCATGTTGAGGAGCCAGCTTGACCAATCTGCAAAGTAAGGTAGAATGCTCTTGACAAGTGGTTACACCAAACAGTGGTGTCCTGGTGATAAAGGGGGATATCAGCGACTCAGGAAAATAGCCCGACTCGATGGGATGAGTGAGGACAGCACCTCAGTAGACCCTCTAGCCAAAATGGTGGCAACCAACCCAATATAGAGGCCCGCCTGGATGGGTCTGGCTGGATCAGCAATCAACTCAGTAAAGGGGCCCGCCTGAATGGGCCCGGCTGAACAACAACAAATCGATATAGGGGCCCGCCTGAATGGGCCCGACTGAACAGCAACAACTCGATATAGGGGCCCGCCTGAATGGGCCCGGCTGAACAGCAACA